TACTTCTGAAAATCCACATTCCTGGGAATGTTCAGTGATTAATTATTCTTGCAAATGACAATTTTAAATGGTTGCTACATACCTTGGACTTGAGGGAACCTCCCCAATTTTCATCCACAGACTTCAAGGATAGCTCCTGCGTACAGCTGTGAAATGAAAACCAGGAAACTTACAAACTGAATAGATACATGGACCCAGAGACACAGCTCAGAGGAGAGAGCACTTGCCAAGCATGTGTGCGAGTCTGGGTTTCGTTTCAGGCAGGACGGTGAGGAAGCCCCACAGTGCAGCCTTAGAGTAGAGCAGACATACAGAATCCCCACCGAAACAGCCAGACCACAGTGAAACCGTACAGCTCCAGGTCAAGGAGGGGCCGAGCTAGCGCTGGGGGCCGATAACCAACAGTTTCAGTTTTACCCATGCCAACTGCAAAATTCCAGAAATGAATGTTTGAAATTAAGTATGTTTGGGCAGCATGCTGAAATACTACTCTGTCCTGTGGGGAACATGAAACTGCTTTTTTGGTGTATCCATGCTATCTATATATGCTACCTGTCCACAAGCCTGTGTTAGAACACAATGTTACTGTGAGCTGGGTGGTGGTACATGCCTTTAATGTCAGCACTTGAGAGGCAGAGAGAAGTAAATCTCCGAGTTTGAGGCAAACCTGGTCTACACAGAGAAACTCTTGTCTCAAAATCAAAACCAAACAAAAAACAAAACCAAACAACAACAACAAAGCCAAAGAATACTATTACTGGTAGTTCAGACACGCCTGTGCGTTTCTCCATCAGTGACTCTCAGAACGTATCCCTCATAGGTAAGACAAGGTGCCCATACCGTATACAGAATGGCAGAGGAACTTCAGCTGTGTTGGGAACGGGCTGAGGTATGGAGAGCCTGACAATGAAATTTAACAAGCGGCTTTGGGGAGGTCTTTACATTGCTTTTAATATCATGTAACCAAAGACTTAATAGTAAAGTTCAGCATTCAAGTTTTTAGACATGTTTATTTATGTGTATCTGGCTGTCTGTCACATATATGCAGGGGGCCATGGAACCAGAAAAGAACATCAGGGCCGCCCGCAGGAGCTGGGTCACAGGATGTTGTGAGCTATGGGATGTGGGAACTGGGAATCAAACTCAGATCCTCTGGAAGAGCAGCCAGTGCTCTTACCTCTCCAGCCTTCCGCAACCACCATCGCTGAAAAGTAACTATTGTAAGAAGCACTGTGTAAAATCAGAAAAACTAGTAAAAATCTCATTATAAAAGGCTTATACAAATCATTTTCTTTGATGAAATTCAACTGAAACAATCAGGAGTCAACTGCTTTTACAGAAGCTGCACATTCTTTCTGGAGTAAAACTCATTATAAAAATTCAAATGCAAATCAGTGCTGTGAATTCAGATGGGACACATCCAATGGCAAAGATCACTTTTCTTTTTATGTAGCAGCCAAAGTTTAACCATTCTTTTCAAAGATTTATTTTATGTGCATAAGTGCTTTGTCTAGTTTTGTGTCAACTTGATACAAGCTAGATTCATTCTGGAAGAAGAACCTTATTTGCGGAAATGCCCCGTCAGACCGTCCTGTGGGCAAGCCTGTGGTGCATTTTCTTGATGACTGACGTGGGAGGGTCAGTTCACTAAGGGCAGTGCCACTCTTGGACTGGTGATTCGGGTACTCTAGGGAGTCAGGTAGAGCAAGTCACCAGGAGCAAGTCAGTCAGCTGTACCATTCCACGGCCTTGGCATCAGTTCCTGCTTGCAGATTCCTACCCTAACTTTCTTCAGTGATGGACTGTAGTATGGAAGTATAAGCAAGATAAATCCATTCCTCCACAAGTTGCTTTTAATTATGGCGTTTTACCTCAACAATAGAAACTCTAAGAGGGTTGACATGGATGTATAGATACTATGTATGTCCCTGGTGTTCTCAGAGGTCAGATGAGGACATCAGACTCCCAGAACTGAAGTCATGGAATGTTATGAGTCACCACGTAGGTGCTGGGAATTGAACCTGGGACCTCTGCAAGAGCAATAAGTGCTCTTAACCACTGAGCCATCTCTCCACCCCCTGATTATTCTCTTCATAGGCAAGGATGCTCTTAGGAATATGGAGGCCCTAAAAGAAAGACAGCAAATTTAAGAATATAATACATCTATTTTATTTCTTCTTAGTTTGTAGGGTTAGTTTTATGGCCATCTAAGAATCAAACATGGATTTTACCTTTTAGGTTCTAAACCAGTATTTCTTAATTTTACAAAAGAAATTAAGTGCAAAGTAGAAAAATGGTAATCACCTTTGCTTGATACAACAAAAGATAACTAACCTTTTCATGATTCTGGGCCATATTACAATTTTTTATGGGAGCTGGAGAGATGGCTCAGTTGATTAAGAGCACTGGCTGCTCTTCCAGAGGTCCTGAGTTCAATTCCCAGCAACTACACAGTAGCTCACAACCATCTCTAATAGGATCTGATGCCCCCTTCAGGCATACAGGTATATATGCAAAGCACCAGTAATAAAGTCTAAATAAATAATCATTTTTAAAAAGGTACTTGTGTTTAGGGTATCTTAGACCCTTGAGACTCTGAGGTCCTTTGTTTAAGCTGTTTGTGGATTCTGAAAGCACTGACAGATTTTGGATGGAGGATTCTGATGATCTCTGGTTCTTTCAAGCAATAAAAACATTAGAGATTAAGGAGATGTAATTTTATAAAATGCATTAATAAAACCCACCAAGATTTGCCTAAGGCTGGTTAGAACAAGACAGTCAGGAAACGAACTTCAAACCCCGGGGAGACAGCAGTCTACACTGTCGGCATGCCTACTGTCAAGCGGCAGAAACAAGGGGTAGTTAAGATGGAGGAGCAACTCAAGCGGCTGCACCTGCACAGCTGCTGTGGAGCACAACACTGTCACCAGGCCTCGAGACTTCACTTCTGGGTACTGAACCAAAGGGGAACGTAGGGATGAATGGTTATTTGTACACTGATCATAGCAGCTCAGCTTACAAGAACCAAATGAGGGAGGAGACTCAAGTACTCATGGACAGATAGGACAGGGAGGAAATGTGATGTATATATGGTAGACTATTACTCAGCTTTCAAAAGAAATGCTGATATATTTGACAACAAGAATAAACCTTGGAAACATTTTTTTGAAGGCAGGCACAACAGAAAAATACCATATGAATTAAGTAAATCAGTGACATTCAGAGACGCAAGCTTGAGCAGAAGCAGGTGGGGATGTCACCAGTAATGGTATAGGGGTCCTGAGTCTCGGAAGGTGAGAAAGTTTGTGAGAGAGGTAGTAAGAATGGCTTTAAAGCATTGTAAATTTATTATTGCCTGAACTGCACTTAAAAATGGTGACTTACATATACTTTACCCCAATTTTTTAAAAATATACAAGATTGTGGTAAATTTTAACCACTACAGTATTTTTTCAATTTTTTGTGACCCCCCAGCTGTTCTTAGTGGAGATTCCATTAGCTTATATTAGACATTTCTCCACACTGATGCTTCCCAGTGTGTGTCATATCATGACATGAGTGCATGAGGAAACTACTTATAAAAGACAAAGGAGGGGGGCCTCATTCCCAGTCCACTGCGCTCACAAGGGCAGAAGGACTCAGTACCCTAGCACACCAGGAATGAATTCACAGAAAGCATTCTAGACCACAAAACTCCACTGGCCCTCTTACAACTTTAGACAATTCTTTACTGAACATAGGATGCGATGTTCAAGCAAAACCTCCAGTGTTTCCTAGTCAAACTGGGGGTTTTCCTATTAAGTGTCCACACAGATCCACTCTTACAAGATGTACTATAAATACCCCACTAACTTGAGTGGTTTGACTTCCTCCAGCAACACACATATACTTGTGTGGTGAAGGTAGCGAAAGGTCATTGAACAAAGTTAAATACTTATTTTCACCATATGACTAGAATATTTTGAGGCAAATAAAAGAAAATGCAACTCAAAGTTGTACCATTAAGAACAAATTCTAGAGTTGGGCAGTGGTGGCGCACGCCTTTAATCCCAGCACTCGGCAGGCAGAGGCAGGCGGATCTCTGTGAGTTTGAGACCAGCCTGGTCTACAAGAGCTAGTTCCAGAACAGCCTCCAAAGCCACAGAGAAATCCTGTCTCAACCCTCCCCCCAAAACCCAAAGAAATAAAAAAAATTCTAAAGGCATCAGTTCATGTCACTAGTTGGCATTTTACTTATGAATCTATAGTTTATGGAAAAATTTTTATTCAATGGCAAATAATTTAGTATAGATTATAGTAAACGTTAAGTGTTGTACAAACATCTTTAGCATCATACAAATTCACACACAATGAAATATAAGCTGCATAATGATGATGATGACAGGCATTCTTGCAGAAGACAACAAAGAAAACAAATGCAATGATCCTTCCCATGCTCACTTGACCAATCTCATGTTACAATGTTTTTTGACATGTTTCATAGCATAAAATATTAGTAAAAGCTTCACATATAGTAAAAGGCAGTAAATCTTTATTTTGTATTGATATCTGTCTTGTAATTAAAGTTAGATGGATACCTACCAACCAACCAAATGAACCAAGACAAAAAGTTGGTCAAGGGTTTTCTAACCAGACATCTTCTAGGTCAAATAAAAATAATGACAAAAAAATTGCTGTAACACATCACAACTATACAGTACATTTATAAAGTTGGTCCACATCAGAAATACTGCGCTTTCCAACTCTAAGCACTTAATACCCAGTGACCACAATTATGCCAATAAACACAACTGTGCTAACCCTTGAAATAAACTTTCACACCACAAAGGAGTTGAAGTTATAACATCAAACAGGCATGAGCAATCTGCCCTGTGTGATCCTCTACTAACGGGGGAAAAACTTCACACGGGTGAAACAGGCAACCACACCACCTTAAAACCAAATCAAGGGAGCACAAGCAGATGCCGCTGCACCTCCTTGTTTGTTGGACTTCTTTCTCCAGATGTTTCTTTCCAATAATCGACCACTGCATTTACAAATCTCTGCAATAGCCAGCGGACCACAGAAAGACATTCTTTAGGCCTCAGCTCGCAACCAACAGCTTTAAAACTGCTGGCCATGACTCAGGACCAAAGTCAGCTTTCTGCACTGTCTACTACTTTGGAAAACCTACCCACCCCATCTGTTAACTGATTGATCTTCTAAACTGACTCACGGTATTGTATGTATTCTGGGGAGCTGTGTGATGTGCTCTCTCTTTCTCTCTCTCTCTCTCTCTCTCTCTCTCTCTCTCTCTCTCTCTCTCTCTCTCTCTCTCTCTCTCTCTCTCTCTCATTCTGTGGTGCTCTTCTATGTTGGGAAAAAACTCCCTCTATTTTAATAAAAGCTAAAACTGCAGTTTTAAAGTTTAATTTTTTAAAGTTAAAATATTCAACAGTGCCACTGTACTCCCTCTGTATTAAGTAATAAAGTTCAGATTTTGTAGCAGTTTTATTCACATAAAAATTTAAAACAATATGAGTATGAACATAATCATACATGTATTAGTAGCAATGAATAAAATACCATTAGGTGGCTATCAGCACCCTAGAAAACAACGCCCTCCCTTGCTTCCTCTTTCCATCCTTCTCTCCCTGCTTCCTCCCTCCCCCCTTCCTGTGTATGATCCTCTAAAGCCCACACTGCTGAGATTACAGTCATGTTTTACTACCCCCAATTCCCCAATGTCAGGATCACTTTTTATAACCAACTTTATATGCTTTCATATGATAGAAACACATATCACGCAAAAAAACTAAATTTAGTTTTAGACAACTAAGACTCAAGGAAAGTATTTTCTCTAAGACACATTTATTCATTACTGTTTTAAATTTTACTGCATTGCTCGTTCCATCATTTTTTTTTTTTTTTTGCTTAGCATCCTGGAAACAAGATCATCATATGTGGGCAAATAATGAAGGCACTATTCTGAAATGTAATAGAAACTCTATCCAAATTGTGTATTTATGCTACAAAACACATTAAAATACATAAACTATATGCAAATGACTCCCTACTGAATGGGAAAAGATCTTCACCTATTCCACATCTGACAGAGGGCTGATCTCCAAAATATAAAAAGAACTCAAGAAACTAGACATCAAAGTACCAAAAAAATCCAATTAAAAAATGGGACACAGATCTAAACAGAGAATTCTCATCAGAACAATCTCAAATGGTGGAAAGACACTTAAGGAAATGCTCAACATCCTTAGTCATTAGGGAAATGCAAATCAAAACCATTCTGAGATTCCATCTTACACCAATCAGAATGGCTAAGATCAAAAACACCAATGACAGCTTATGCTGGAGAGGATGTGGAGAAAGGGGAACACTCCTCCATTGCTGGTGGGAGTACAAAGTTGTACAGCTGCTGTGGAAATCAGCATGGAGATTCCTCAGAAAATTAGGGATCAACCTACCTCAACACCCTGCAATACCACTGTTGGGCATATACCCGAAGGAGGCACAGTAACATCAGAAGGACATTTGCTCAACTATGTTCATAGCAACATTATTCGTAACAGCCAGATCTTGGAAACATCCTAGATGCCCTCAACTGAAGAATGGATAAAGAAAATGTGGTATATTTACATAATGGAGTACTACTCAGTGGTAAGAAACAATGACATCCTAAAATTAGCAGGTAAATGGACAGAACTAGAAAAATCCCAGTGAGGTAACCCAGACCCAGAAAGACAAATATAGTATGTACTCATTCATAAGTGGATACCAGACATAAAGCAAAAGATACCCACCCAGCCTACAACCTACAACCCTTATTGGAGCCCATTCTATATGGAGAGATACCTTACTCAGCCTAGGCACAGGGGTATGGGGGTGGAGAGGTGCCTTAGTCCTGACTCAAGGAGATGATGGGACAGACTTAGTAGACTTTTTTACCCTCTCTGAGGAGCAGATGCGAGGTGGGGGTGGGATGGGGTTGGGGGAGTGGGAGAGAGAACTGGGATTGGAATGTGAAAAATAAATTATCAAATTTTAAAAATATGTGTAAACTATATCTGTTGACACAGACCAAGGGAGAGAAGCTGGGTTATCATCTTAGTAAACTAAGTAGGTGAACAGACTTCTACAACCTTTAAATACCTATGCATATCTGAATTATCTGCAGGTCCTTTCTCTTTAAGGAAGCTTGTGGGTTTAAAGCACCCTACACCAAGCAGACCCTGTCTTTTCCTTTCCGTATCTTCAGTCACACAAGGAGATTGAGAAGCTAACATTTACCTTAAGTTAGTTCCAAAGGAGGGATTGTTCTAAATGAGAAAATCAATACTCCACTAAAATGCTCAATAAAAATAACACAAAATGTTTCCTCATCATTGCATTTTAACCATGAGAGCTATGGAGGAAGGGACCAGGTTTCCTTCAATGCTGTGATGAGTAGGACTTGTGGAAACAATGAACAGAAATTGGCTGTAGTATACATGAGTGTGTAATGGGCTCATTTTGATTCTATGAATTGGACAGAAGCTTGAGTGACCATTGTCTCAAGTGTGTCTATGGGGAGGAACACAATTGGTTAACTGAGGTGGGAAAAGACAACTTACAATGTGGGTGAGTTGGTCCACGCCTGGGTCCTGCGTTGCATGAAAGGAGACTGACTAGCTGAGCACTGTAATCACGTCTATCCACTTCCTAATGCAGGCAGTAAGCAGCCGCCTCTTCAGTTCCGTGGGCAGGGAGGACTTCTCCACCATCATAGACTATGTCCAAACTGCCAGCCAGAACAAGCCCTTCTTCCTAACTGGCCTTGGTCAGGTATTTGGTCACAGCACAAGACAAGTCACTCACTTAGGGAAGGCCACTGTCACAACGAGGCTTTCAGGTGAACGTGGTTTAACAGACATTCCTCCTATACAAACTCTAGCTTAACAAGTGTAAGTGCTCTAAGATTGTGACCTACAACAGTGTGCTCAATTCTCCTGGCATTAGGAAACACCACCCCAGGGTCAGAAGTATCTTGAGAAAATGAGAATATAGTCATCCCATTTCCTGAGCTCAAAACTCCACAAACATTAGTGTGTGTGACTTTGAGCTTGAAAATCTAAGTACTTTTTCAATGACACCAATTAGCTCTTGGCAATAAGTTAAAATATTTTAGAAAATGGTAAATCATTCTCCATATCACATATAATAAAGAAAAATGACTTTTGCCTCCTAAATATTTGGAAAATACAACCTATTTGCCATTATCTTGAAGAACTGAAAATTAGTAAAGAGATGATTCAAAATTCAACTACTCAGTTGCTCTGAAAAATGAACCTGAAGGAAGGAAGCTACAGTCTCCAGCAGCAGCTTCGCTGGAAAGAGGTCACTTCCGTGTGCTGTCACCTTCCCCAGTTAGCCCTGCGCCCATCCAAAGTGACAATCGTACCCAGCAGGAAGCTGTGCTTACAGTGCCCATCTCACCAAGTTGTTTTTTAAGGAACCAATGCACCTGGGATCAAAAAAAAAAAAATCCAAAAAGAAAATAAGAAACCAAAACCTGACTGTATCTCATCCCCCACCAGACACATTTAAACAGTTTGCTGTTGGTTCTCCCACTGGCTACTTCCATACGGCTGCAGCCACACATAGGAAAAAATATTTAACACGACTTCACTATGTTATCTGACCACTGGGCTTCAAGCTGGCGCTTGGGGCTCTTCAGTAGCTGGTATTCCTTGGCGTGTACTTCTGCGGCAGGTTAACAGCAACACCAAGAGATCTACCAAGTTCCTCCTTCTTCTAGCTTTTATTTTTATTTTATTTTTAGTTGTTACCACCCTAACTCCAGATACTATGTTTCAGCCCAGTTATGCAAGTCCATTTTCCTCTATTTCTTATTCTTTGAGGGTTTATTTTGGCATCCAGAGTCCATTTCAAGAAGAAACGTTTAGCATATAGATGCAAAGGTAACCAGGAGTCTAGGAGTCTAAGGTAGCTGTGCTTGGAAAGGCAGACTCAATTACTCCAAGGCAGCAAGCAGCTCTCAATCTGTGTGTCGCCTGAGCCCTTTGCGGGTTGACCAAACCTTTCACAGGGATCGCCTATCACATGTCCTACATATCAGATGATTACATTACGACTCATGACAGTAGGAAAATTACAGTTATGAATTAGAAATGAAGATGATTTTATGGTTGGGGGTCACCACAACATTAAAGGTATTAAAGGTATTAAAGGGACACAGAATTAGGAAGGTTGAGAACACTGTTCTAAGGGTTTACTCTTTTTTTTTGTTTTGTTTTGTTTTGGTTTTTCGAGACAGGGTTTCTCTGTATTGTTTTGGAGGCTATCGGTCCAGCCTGGCCTCGAACTCACAGATATCTGCCTGTGTCTGCCTCCCGAGTGCTGGGATTAAAGGTGTGCGCCACCACAGCCCGGCAAGGGTTTACTCTTTTTAAACAGTATAAGCTTTGACAACCATGATAGTTTGAGTAGTATGCTTAGAGAGTTGATGCTAATTTATTGAGCTCTTAAAGACTGTGTCTACTTTTCATATTAAAGGCAAGTGTAAAATCAAATATTTTCAATTCAAATAAAGAGCTATAAAATAAATTTCAAAACTTTGTTGAATATACATATGTATATGAACCTGTCCACTAATTAGTTCTATGATCTTAAGACAGGATGTCTACCCAGGGCTCAACTATGAAGTGAGAAATTACTAGTGTAATAGTGACCTGTCACGACAATATTATAGACATCAGTTTGCTTAAAGTGCTTCGAGATGAGGTCTCAGTACACAGCCCTGACTGGCTTACAACTTGCTTGCTATGTAGACTAGGCTGGGTTTGAACTCAAATTCCCTGCCTACATCTTAAAGTTCCTGGAAGAGTGCTTTCATATAGTAACAAGTTAACACATACAAGTGGCCATTATTATAAGTAACTAGTTGCATCAGTAGTTAGTATCATGCCACACAAGTGGTGGCTTTAGTAATGGTTACACTGAACTGTTGCCAGGAACTACTCATATTAAAAAACTCCTTTGAGAGGGACACTTTTGTGCTACACTTAGAATCATTTGCTGAAGATATTTATATTTTGTTTCCTTTGAAGACATTAGTTTCTGTAGAGGCTCTGGATGCT